GTGGGGATGCGGATGCGGATGCGGATGTGGAGATGCCCAGCAGGACGATGTCGACGTCTACGAACGCCAGCGCGAGCACGAGCACGAGTAAGAGCAAGAGCGCGGGTGTGGCGGCGAGTGGGCCGACGGGGTTCTCGCTGGATAACTTGGCGGTATCGTTCATCACGGAGACGATCCAGACGCTTACCTCCGCGCCGCCGACGCCCAGTGTTGGGAGCTCCGCGCACCCAGCCCCCAGCTTCCTCTCCTCCGCTTCCGCCTCCGTGCCCGCCTCCGCCTCCGCCTCCGCCGTTACGACTAGCACCGCACCGGTCAGTAACCCGCCCACGCCGAGTGCGAGTGCGAGTGCGACCAAGGCGCTGCTTGCGGCGAAGCAGGCGCGGTTGGAGGCGCATATTGCGGAGAGCCGGGCGCTGATGGCGCAGCTTGCGGGGGCGAAGAGTAAGGGGGAGCGGGAGCGGGTGTTGGGTGTTATGCGGGAGAGGGGGAGGTGCGTTTGCGTTTGCTTTAGTCTTTTCTCTTCTTTTTTCTCTCTTTCCTTCTTCGATTCTTTGCGGGCGTCGTCTCGCTTGCTTGCTTTCCTTCTGCTTTTGCTGCTTGGATTCTTTCTTCATTCCCTTCCTTGTGACGCGCGGGGCTGAGGGCGTGGTGTCTTCTAGGATGATGGAGGAGGAGAGCGCTGCGAACGCGTCCGCGCCAGCTCCCGCACCTACCGCTGCGACCAATTCTGCGTCTGGTCCCGGTGCCAGGGTGACGCGCATCGTCACTAGCACCAGCGTCACAGAGAAGCAGTCGCGCTCGCCTGTGGAGCAGCTTTGGGGCGGGAGCGGGGCGCCGAAGAGGATGCGGTGGCCGGAGAGTCGGAATGATGTTTGTGTGTTGATCATTAGCGACGATGAGGAGGAGGAGGACGGGGAGAGTGGGGATGAGAGCGATTGAGGGGTGAGCAGGATGGGGTGTGGTGTGGGTTTGTTTTTGTGAGTGCGGGTCGGTGGGGTGGGCAGGACGTAAAGGGCTCGATGCGGAGGGATGGAGGATGGAGGACAAGTATGTCTTTGTCGTGCTTTTGGCGCGTGAATGCTCACATTCCGCTGTCATTAGGATCGGCTGTCAAGCGACAGAAGGTGAGTATTCTCTCTGCATTTCTCCTCCTGTCGTGAGGATGTTATTCACGGCTTGCAGATTCGCTGCAAATGGAAGAAGGGGAAGGGGGTCATGTATATCTTACTCGCTTTCACTGTAGACGATGCTCACCGCGCGCGCTCTTTGTCTAGACTTGGAGCACCTTCGATCGTGGCAAGTGCGTATTTGTTGGTCCTTTTCGCTCGTGTATCTCTATTGACGTTCTGCAGTTTGCGACGACTTATACCCAAGCCATCATCCTCAAGTGAGTTTCTGCCTTATTCCCCTGTATACTCGGCGGTAACAATCCCTCGCACTTAGGCACAAGTATACTTCTCGCGGCCTCCTTCCCCGCTGCGGCTCATACTTGCTCAGGTCGCAGTGTGTTTGACCACCATGTGGACCTTCCCCGCGAGGCGGCCAAGGTGAGTAGGGTCCTCAGTGTGTGTGCGGCTTATCGAAGGGGATCGCGAATGTAGCCGGAGTCGCCAAGCTCGCCGGCGGGAAGGATGTATAATCAGGTGGGTGGGCTGTGCCGATGCCTTTGGTTCGTCGGTGATGCTTTGTAGATTTGTATGAGCGATACCCCGACGAGCGCCATCGACACGAGCGACACCTCACCCTCAGCGACGCGAGCGACACTTCCACCCGATACACCTCATCACACGAAAGCTAACGAAGCGAGGGAAAGCAGGACGCGGGGGTCCAGAGAAATATTGATTTCTCGGTGACTGGCTCGACCGGCTGCTCATCCCACGAGGTTTGTTTGTTGTTTGCCCGGGTCGCGCGCCCTTTCCTTGTCTGGAAGACTCTCTTCCTCGTTTTTACTCGTTCACGCACTTGGACGCAGTGATCTTTGCGCTTTTTGTCGTCTGCTCTGTTTGTGGAATATATTTTCTCGTTTTACGCTGCAAACTACTGGCCGTATCTGAGTGTGCGAGGACTGGAAGGAGGTGGAAGGCGCCAGACGGGCACTTGGCACAGCCCTGCTTAGTCAGTTCTCTTGTGCAAATAGCGACAAAACAAGGTAACGGCAAGGCTACAGCTTGGTCCTCACCACCACCACACCCCACCCTTTCTCGGACTCTACACCTCGTAAGTCCCTCTTGTGAACTTGTAGGGTCGCTACTCATCGTACCCCCCGCTCTGCTCCCCTTCATCGTCCCAAAATCGTCTTTGTCGCCACCTCGCCCGATCTACTGCGATTACCATCCGATTTATAGCTTGTGTTCTAGTTTCCTTGCTCGAGATGGCTTTGAAGCGCATTAATAAAGTGCGTACTCCATCTGTGCCTGCGCCGCCTTTATGGCGAGCACGGCGTCAGGGGTGACCCACCAGCGATGCTGACTACGGCTCCGCCTCTGCAGGAATTGATTGATCTCGGCCGGGACCCACCCTCGTCGTGCAGCGCAGGACCGACGGGGGACAACATGTTCCAGTGGCAGGCGACAATTATGGGTCCGGTACGTCCTTATCGCCCGTTGTCACCCTTGTCGTCCGAGCAGTGCTCATTAGGCGCTCGCTCTGTAGGGTGAATCGCCGTATGCAGGGGGCGTGTTCTTCCTGTCCATCAGCTTCCCGGTCGACTATCCGTTCAAGCCGCCCAAGGTCAGCTTCACCACCAAGATCTACCACCCGAACATCAACGCCAATGGGTCGATATGCCTCGACATCCTGAGGGATCAGTGGTCCCCCGCGTTGACCATTTCGAAAGGTGTGTCCTTGTTCTCTTCCCGCCCGTGCCCACAAGCGGGAAGCGGCTTCCGACGGGCTGGCGCTGACTCATTTGTGACCACAGTGTTACTTTCAATCTGCTCGATGCTGACGGACCCTAACCCCGATGACCCCCTCGTCCCCGACATTGCTCATCTGTACAAGACGGACCGCACCCGCTACGAGGCCACCGCCCGGGAGTGGACGAGGAAGTCAGTCGCCTTGCCTTTCCCGTTATTCACGCACTAACGCCGGTCTTTTCCTAGGTACGCGATGTAGGGAACCGACACGTTCTGCGTGTAGAATTGTTGTGTGTTAGCTCGTCCTGTACTTTTTTCAATCGTTACCAATCCGCTGGCTACTTTAATCCTTTTTGCGATGTTGTCAGGGTTATGCGGTTATAAGTACTGTGGATAGTACTGGCGGCCGTAGTGACCCCCGCTCTCGAGTCGTTCCCGTCGACGCCACATTGTGCTGAAAATGGGTCCTGCTGCTGATCATGCTAGTGCGGTCGCTTCGGTATCATCAAGCATGTCAGCCCTTGTTCCTCCAAATCCTTGTTCTTTTTGACGGGCTCTGAGTGGGTGCCCTTCTTCTTCGGGCTTGTTCTGCTGTCCTGAATTGAAGACCGCGGAAATTTTCGTCGCCTGGGTGGGTCCCTTGAAACTCGCTCCTCGGTCTCTTCTGCAGTAACGGTATATCGGCCAGAAGCTTGCGCCTGCGACTGCGGTCCGAGTCGTGTACATACACGTCCTCGACTTGGTTTGGGGGCTCGGGTGAATCTAATTACAGATGCTGGTGACGGACGGCAGTCTGCCAGTGGCGCGGGGGGAATTTGTCTGGAAAAGGCTGAAAGGCGTGGGTGCTGTACAGGCTGTCGACATTATAATAGCAAGTGCTTTCGCATTCACGTCATCGATTCGCTCGCTCTTGCTGCCCTGCGATCTCATCCCGACACTGGAATTGCCTCAGTCAATCGGGATGTCTGTTACCGAGCAACTCACATCCTTATTCTAGCAGCCCGGTGATCCATCGCCCTCAGAAAACGCACTGCGGCCTCGACCGCCTCGCCATCAATCTCGCTTTGCGTCGGACGCTGCACGATCCTCTCTACCTCAGCCCGAGAGCGCCCCATCAGATCCCTGGGCATGCATTCATGGAGGAAGGTCAGCAGATGCTCCTCCCACTCGCTGTCATCCCTCTGCCCCAGCACCTCCCGAATCGGATCCAGTGCGAGCTGGGGGAAGCGTGCGAGCTGTTCCCAGCACCCGCGCCCGGGCGGCCAGTTACCGTCCTTCAGCCAGCGCAGCAGGCCATCCACGTGCGGCCGCATCTCCTCCGGGGTATGCACCATCTCGCGGAGGGTCCGGAGGGCCAGCTCGTCATGTTTATGGCGCGGGACCCACGCCTCGGAGGCGTCCAGGAACGTGAGGAGCTCAGCACTCCGCTCCGGCACGCGCTCGTTGGCCGCTGTCTCTGCGGGCGTCGGGCGTGTGGCCAGCCGCGCAAGCGCAGCGCGGTAGGGCTCGATGTGCTGTCTCGGTAAGCGCGGGAGGATGGCGTATACCAGAGGGTGCTTGAGATTTGCGGCATAAAGGGTCGGTGCGGGGGCGAGCAAAAGGGAATCAATGGTAGAGACGAGGGGATCTGCTGGACCAACTTCCATACGGGTAACGAAAAGTTGTGTTAAAGGATATGCGATGTAGGCTGCCTCAGAGTAATGCATCCAAGGCAGCAGGGAAGGAGCGATAGCGGCAAAGTCATGCGAGTTGAGGGAAGAGATGCGGATAACAGCAGGCATGTCTTGGTGGTCCTTGGGAAGAAGATCATTCACGGAGCGAGTTGAAGCCATACCACACAAAAGGTGTTGGTGCGAAGGCAGAAACCGAATCACCATCACCAAGTCGTCCTAAAGTAGAACTCAACGCCGATTACGTCAGATATCGGCCCAATTGAGAAGTCTCCCATCATTTCTTGTGTTACCACCAGCACCCTTTGCCTCTTCGTCGTCCCGTATATTTTGATGCACGCTGCGGGGATTGCGAACCACGGCTGAGAGACGAGCCAGTAAGCGCCAGCAAGGGGTCCCACGCTGATTAGAAGGCGATAAGCAATCGATGATCAAAAACAACGAAGGGTTGCACGGAAGGGAAGGGGGGCAAAACTGATTCCACCCGGGCTCGAACCGGGGACCGCCTGTGAACCAATTACGTCCAACTCCATAGGAAATTTGACAGCATTGTTAGACAGAAGTCATAAACCAGCTAGACCATGGAACCGATGGCAAACCGCCAAGGGCCAAAGGGCATGGCATGGATGAACCAACTGGACATGTCAAGAATGGTATGTTCAACCTCAACTCACTTTACCATCGATGCACGAGCTCGAATCGTCTTCACTTCGTTGTAATCACCCGACCTATTTTCTCCCCATCACCTCCTCAGACTTTATCTGGATCTCAATTTGAGAACCGAAATTTGAACGTTAATCCGCCGCTTCAGCATCAAAATGGTCTCTCTGGCCAGTTATTCTGAGACGCAGAATCGAGGGTACGGTGTAGATAATCTATTATACCCGATTCGGATGTATATAGAGCCGCGATCCGAATTTGTGATTCAAGACAACACCTAAACACCACTGAGGTACTTCTCAACGATCGTGCCAACCTTTGGGTCGACCCCAGTCAACATCTCGACCGTCTCGTCCCTGCAGAGAATGACATGTAAGGCACTGCAACACAAATCAACCAAGAAATGCAACGAACCAAAACCGACTCTGCGCCTTGAGGCCGTCTACGCTCAGCGCATAATCACTGACCTCCTGCACCGCACAGCCCGTGATAAACTCGCCGCGCAGCCTGTTGGGGTCCTCCTGAGTCGCGGGGCCCACCGCGGACCACACGAGGCGTCGACTGCCTTCTTCCGCCGTGCGCGCGAAAGCCAACTCCAGGAGCGCGAGGATGCCCCCGCGGAGGCCCGTGATGTTTCGCGTGATCTCTGTCCCACGACAGAGGCCGGGGTCGACAGAGGTGACGATGAGCGGCGTGGGCAGTGGGATGTGCGCGTTCAGCGCGCGGGCGAAGAAGACGCTGAAGACTAAGTAGATGCGAGTTGGAAATAAGCATGTGTAGACAAAGAATAAATGGAAGCAGGCGGACGCACGCTTCGTAACCGGGTATCTGACTGCCATTTTCCTGTGTGTGCTATGAGAATCGCTGAAGTCAAGTTTAGTTTTGAACACGACATACTCGGGCGTGCAGTAGTCCGCGCTCCCCAACGTCTTGAGCATGTCCGGGCTCTCAATAACACGGGTATCCAAAGCCTGCACCTCATACATCGACACGCTGGAAACGATCACCAGTCTGGACAATGAGCCGTGCTCCTGCGCCGTCTGCACCATCACGGGAAGGAGGCGGAGACAGAGGAGCGAAGTGGCGAGGGAATTGACTTGAAGGCTGTCAACATACTAAGTCGAATGCCCCCCGGTATAGATTGAAAACGAACGACGACTCGAACCCGTCCTTGGTGGGTTCATATTGGAAGATACTGATCCCCGCATTGGCAACAAGGATGTCCAGCCGGCCTCCATCGCGATCGAACTTGTCTGCAAATTGGGTTACGGACGCGAGATCCTTGAGGTCCAGCGTCCACACTTCGGCTTTGGTGTAGCCTGTGGTCGCCTTCACCTCTGAGTCGTTCTGAATCAGAAAGAAGAAAAAAGCAGCGGAAAACGAGTGAACTTACTCTCCACGGCGGCGTGGCCCTTGCTCGCACTTCTGCACGCCAGAATCAGTCGTCCAGGATTCATGGTAGCAAAGTGTGTCGTCGCCTCCAACCCAAGGCCAGTGTTGGCCCCGAGTACAACAACTGTCTTGCCCGCGAGATCCACTTTCACAACGGGGGGGTTGACGGACCACTGGTCGCGCACGAACTTCCCGAATGTGTAACGCATGGCGGGGCAGAGATATAGATTGTAGTAGCTGAAGGGCACTCATTTTATACGAAAAGCTGGTGAGTTTTGCATGTTCTGCTTTCACGAAGTCGGGCCGCTGGCAAATCGAAATTAGTCATCCAGGTTGAAGGAAAAAATGAACCGTGGGAATATTCATTGATGGCGAAGCGGCACATGTTCGGCGCGATGCAAATGAGACTTGGAAAAAGGTGTGCCTTTTGGAAGCGCTCCAGTGAAGTAATTGTATCCTTTGTCCTCATTATTGTATTACTTGTCTGTCTTTCAGCCCTTGAATTCAACAAAATTGCGGAAGAATGCATCACAACGGCGCTGTGAAGGGTCGAGTTCTACTAAAATGGCGTCAGCGAAGTACTCTGGAGTCCATATTCCAACTCACCCGACGAATTCACGATGGAGCGTCTTAGGATGGAGCGTTTTAGAATTTATAGCTCCGTTGCAGTTCTTCTTCGCGCGTTCAAAAACGCTGCGGGGTCATAGACGGTGCCCAGGTGGAATGCCAATCTAGCCTCTCGTATACAGACGCTACAACGGGAACCTCGTACCTCGGATCTTCAAGCCTCTCCCCAAATCACCAGCCACGCCGTGAGGACGTATGCACATCCTGAAACACTCGATTTGAAAAATAACAGCTCAAGGAGTGGTCGACCCAAGAAGGGCCAAGATGTTTGGCCTCAAAGATGGCTGAAAAACAGTGCAACTGCATATGCCCGAAAGGTCCAGAATGGCAGCAGTTGCCTATGTTCAAGCTCGCGACCAACTCGGAAGCTTCAAGTTCCATCGTACTCATCGCTTCGATGATCACCTCAACCTCTTGTCTAATCGTCGTAGAACTTGTAATTATCATAGTATTCGACTTCGACGGGGTTCTATCCGCATCTGAGAGTAAACGACTAAGCCATCCATACCCCCGTTTGTGGGCGACGATCTAATTCCGGCGATGAACAACGTGACCGCGTTTGTGACTCGACATCACTTTTTGCCTTCCAACATCATGGGCGGTTATGACTCGAGTTCGAGAACACTCGAGTAAATGGCATATGGAGTCACCACTCCCAACAATGAACCCGCCGAACGAAGACACCCCGCTGCTGGCAGCGCCGTCCCTTCAAGCGCGGAAGACGTCGAGAGGTCCTGTCCGAGTCTTCACCGCATATCATCGCGTTCTATTCGGCGCGTTCCTGCTCGCTATCTGCTCTACGCTTGTGCGTTTCTCCCTCTAGTGCTCGTTCTTTCTAACGATTTTCCTAGTCGTGGAGTGCGGTCCTTTATGCATACAGGGTGTTCAACTGCGACGAGTATTACGCGGACCCGACGCATCCGCCCTACTCAGGAACGGGGGATGCCTGCGCAATAAGTGTCATCGAGGCCAAAACTGCTCAGGATATCAGTCTCATGAGCGTCATCGCCACGGTCTGTCTCTTTTTTCATCACTCCCAAATCCCAAGTAACGATTCATTCAGATTTGCGGCTTGATCAACACCGTCATTACTGCGTGGCAGATTCGCAACTGGGGCGTGCGCCCTGCGATGGTGCAACAGAGCTTCTGGCCTGCATTCCGCAGTCTCTGCCAACTCTATGCTCGTGCGTCTCCGTCCCCTTGAGCGGCTCTGATGCAAGACTCAAGGTCACGACGCACAGTTGGATTCACGCGCGGACGCCTAGGCATCAACATATTCCAGGCGTGTCAGGTCTTCACGTTCCTCGGCGGATCCTTCGGCTACAGACTCGTCGCGAACTCGTATATCACGGAGATCGTCGCGCCCGCCGAGCGTACCGCCGCCTTTGGTGTCCTCGCGGGTGTCATGATGTTTGGGATGGCCTTCGGTGACCCCTACTCTTGTCCTTCCTAGCTTCAATACTGATTCATAGCAGGGTATAGCCTCAGTGGGTTCGTGTACGACTTCTTTGGGCTCACTGGACCCTTCAAAGGGACGTCTTGCATCCTGGTGCTGAGCACCGTCTACAACGCCCTCTTTCTCCCGTACATCCCTCCTCTTGGTTCCGCGGTCGGGCCCACCGAGCCGTCGCCGCGCTGGGCATTTCTTGATGGACTCGGAATATTCCTTCCCGCCAAGTACGAGGATCGCAGCGGGCGATTTTGGGGGCTCACGCTGCTCGGGCTCGGTTCCTTCCTCGCGGCACTGGCGACTCAATATGTTGTGAGACCACGCTTTGCTCTCCTAGCACTGGTCGCAACAAACTAACTCACGTTTTCAGCCTAACATGCTCCAGCTAACAGCAACTAACGAGTACGGGTACACACCGTCGGATAACGGTAGAATGTTTGTGCCCCTTCCCTTGTATCTGCTCCTCGGTGGGATAACGCGGATCCCGCAGGAGCTCGCTCAACGCGCTGGCCCGCGCGCTCTTCCTCACGTTTGCCTTCCCCTGGATCATCGACACGGGTCGAATTTGGTTCAATGGCAGGCAGTCAGTCGATGATAGCGGCGCGAGCAGCCAAAACCGCGTCATCCCCACCATGGCCACGTCTGTGTCCCCAATGGCCACCACCATCGTGACTCCGCCGCCGACAGCGGACGACACTGCCGAACCAGACTCACACCCCAAAATGCGCGAAAGTGCGTTCGACCTCGAGTTCGTCCGCTGGTCGTGCGTTCCTTCCTCCTCTGCGCACCTAGATTCCATTCAAATTGAGCGACCACTTTCCCAGGATTCTCGCCGACGTGGTCCTAACCGCGCTCGTCAGCCTCAACACCCAATCGTGGAACATGATCGCGGCAGCGACGCTTCTCCCGCTTGCGTCGGGAACTGCGCCCGCGGCCAAGGGCGTGCTCACCGCGATCGTGCCCGAGGCGCGTAGGGCGGACGCGTTGGCTGCTATCGCTATGATCGAGGTGGGTTTCAATCAACTCATGCCCCGACAATGCACTCACATGTAATTCCACTGCACCTCCAGACCCTCGCGCTAATCGCCACCGTCTCCCTCTTCGGCCCCATCTTCGGGTTCCTGTCGACGATTGGACGCCCCAACCTCGTGTATATAGTGAATGCGAGCGTCGCGTTCGTTGCGACCGTGGTGCTGTTTATGGTGCGGTTCCCGCGGGGGAGGCTGCGGAGCGCGTAGAGTCATTCCTCTGTGGTATGAATTTAGACCTGTCCATAACTTACACGTTAGATAATTGGACGCAGAGACAATCTGACGCGCGCGCCGCAAGGTCGGCACGCCGCATCAACGCGGAGGGCGCGACCTATCAAGACTCAAAACGGATAAAGGAGATATCCCCTTGGCACTATTTCGTGCCATTCAATTGCAACAGCATTCAACTCTATTCAACTGCTCAAACTA